GCAGACGGAGTCACACTCGTCACAAGTTGAGGTCGGGAGGGGGACTTCCATTCCCAGTTAGCAGAGTCCAGCACCCGCCAGGACAATTTTCTTCAGCAGCACCTGCACACAGAATCCCTAGCCGCTGGGCCTCCCTCTGGTCACACGCGAGTCAATGTCAGAGCCATTCATTGGGCGAGTTACGGTGGGAAGTGTATCCATTTCATGTTTGTGCCCGACAGTCATTGTCTAGTAACGTCAATATAATAATCAATTTATGTGTCCATGCCATTCAGTAACTAATAAATAGCTGTACTTAGAAGTGTAGTTTCGAGGTTTTCCCCTAAGAATATATTAACGGTTAAATAACTAATCGGTCACACTACCAACTCTCACCTTATCGTCTACAGTTACAGTTAGGTTGGGTTAAGGTAAAGTAAGCCGAGTAATCGTACTTGAAGCCCAAAAGTTTCCTGTAGAGAACAATAGTGTTGCCTCACGTTAAGGTCACCAGTTATCAGCTGTACAACTCCCTGATAACACGTCCGTTAATACAACCACGAAGAGTCGGAGGTGCAGCAGCGGCCTCCCAGCCACTCACAGCCACTCACAAAAAAGGGGGGGAGGGGGGCAGTGTAGAGTGTATCAACAGTGGGGGAAAGGGGGGAAGGAAAAACAGGTGGGAGGAGGGTGTGGGTGAAACAGGTGGGAGGAGGGGTGTGGGGGAGGGGTGTAGGGTGAGGAACACGTGGGGAGGAGGGGGGGTGAGACAGGTGGGAGGGAGGTGTAGGGTGGGGAACAGGTGGGAGGGAAGGGTGAGGAACAGGTGGGGAGGGGTAGGGTGAGGGTGGGAGGACGGTGGGAGGGAGGGTGTGGGGTGGGGAACAGGTGGGAGGAGGGGGTTGTGAAGGAGGAGACAGGTGGGAGGAGGGAGGGTGTGGGGTGAGGGAACAGGTGGGAGGGAGAGGGGTGTGGGGTGAGGAACAGGTGGGAGGGAGGGTGTAGGGGAGGGGACAGGTGGGAGGTGGGGGGTGAGGGTGAGGGAACAGGTGGGAAGGAGGGTGTGGGGGGGACAGGTGGGAGGGTGGGGTGTGGGGTGGGAGCAGGTGGGAGGGAGGGTGTAGGGGTGGGGGAACAGTGGGAGGGAGGGGTGTGGGGTGAGGCCAGGTGGGGAGGGAGGGTGTGGGGTGGGGAACAGGTGGGAGAGGGGGTGTAGGGTGGGGAACAGGTGGGAGGGAGGGGTAGAGGGAACAGGTGGGAGGGAGGGAGGGTGTAGGGTGAGGGAACAGGTGGGAGGAGGAGAGGGTGGGTGAGGGAACAGGTGGGAGGAGGTGGGGTGTGGGGAGGGGTGAGGAGGGACAGGGGGAGGGGGTGGGGAGGGAGGTGGGAGGGAGGTGGTGTGGGGTGAGGGACAGGTGGGGAGGGAGGGTGTGGGTGAGGAACAGGTGGGAGGGAGGGGTGTGGGGTGGGGAGGGTGGGAGGGAGGAGGTGGGAGGGGGAGGGTGTGGAGGGTGAGGGAACAGGTGGGGAGGGGAGGATTGTGGGAACAGGGGGAGACAGGTGGGGAGGGAGGGTGTAGGGTGAGGGAACAGGTGAGGAGGGGTAGGGGAGGAACAGGTGGGAGGGAGGGTGTAGGGGTGAGGGGGTGGGGAGGGGAGGGAGGTGTGGGGTGAGGGACAGGTGGAGGGAGGGTGTGGGGTGGGGGAGGTGGGAGGAGGGGGTGAGGGTGTGTGGGAGGGAGGGGTGTGGGGTGGGGGTGGGGAGGGGAGGGGGTGTGAGGGGGGTGAGGGGGTGTAGGTGAGGAACAGGTGGGAGGGGGTGTAGGTGAGGGGGGGTGGGGAGTGTAGGGAACAGGTGGGGAGGGAGGGGGGGACAGGTGGGAACAGGTGTGGGAACAGAGAGGGGTGTAGGGAACAGGTGGGAGGGAGGGGTGTAGGAAATAGGGGAGGGAGGGGTGTAGGGATGAGGGGAACAGGTGGGAGGGGGGGTGTAGTGAGGGAACAGGTGGGGAGGGAGGGGGTGTAGGGGTGAGGGAACAGGTGGGGAGGGGGGGGTAGGGGTGAAGGGAACAGGTGGGAGGGAGGGGTTAGGGGAACAGGGGAGGGGTGTAACAGGTGGGAACAGGTGGGGAGGGAGGGTATAGTGAGTGTGGGTGAGGGTAGGGGGAGGCAGGGGGAGGGGAGGTGGTGGTGTAACAGGTGGGAGGGAGGTGTAGACAAGGTGTAGGTGAGGGAGGTGTGTAGTGAGTGAACAGGTGGGAGGGAGGGTGTAGTGAGTGAGGGACAGGTGGAAGGGAGGGTGTAATGAGTGAACAGGTGGGAGGGAGGGTGTAGTGAGTGAACAGGTGGGAGGGGGAGGAAGATTAGGAGGTGTAGGGAAACGACCGCCAGAGCAGGAAGCAGGTAGGGCTGGACCAGCCTGGGAGGGAGGGTGTAGTGAGTGAACAGGTGGGAGGGAGGGTGTAGTGCAGGTGGAAGGGAGGGTGTAATGAGTGAACAGGTGGGAGGGAGGGTGTAGTGAGTGAACAGGTGGGAGGGGGAGGAAGATTAGAGGTGGGGAAACGAAATTATTGTTCGGAACTTGAAGAAATTGAAGAGGAAGTAGGAGAGGGAGGGCTGACCGCCTAGCTAAGCTAATGGCGTGTTAGTGTTGTGTCATGGGTTAGTTTTGTCTGTCGGTATAGGCACTAGACATCCTACCCTGTCCCATATATGGGTGTTTTAAAGGCCTTATTTCATATTCCGCCGACCCGACTGGCGGATGCTGGTCTAGGGAGGTTGTCTATTGCCTGGCCGTGTAGATCGGGGGTTGTAATGGACCTTTTTGAGATTGGGTAACTTTTTGGAAACCATGTATGGTTGTTGTCGTTGTCTGGTGGGAGTCTTTGAAGGAGTTCTTGCTCTGATAGTTCTATCTTTTGCCAGACTCTGCTGGCCAGGGCGTGCAGCTGCTGGTTGATGGGTTTTATTCTCAGGTCTCTATGTATCTCGGCTGTGGTTCTGGTGAAGGGGTATCTTTCACCTGTGACAATCTTAGGGCTTCATTTTGGGCCACCTGTAATTTTAATATACGAGTGGTGCTCATAGTATGAAGAGGTACTCCTGGGTAAGTTAATATCGGTATGATAAATGATGTCACAAGGCAGAGTTTTATTTTCTCAGATAGCGCTTTAAGGCGGTATAGTTTTCTCAGCGATAACTGTGCTGGTGATAAGCATGTACCCCCCCTCGCAAGCAGGGTACAGGAAGGAGAACGCTGCAGACAATTTGGGTTCAGAAAACGAAAGTCCACCACAACAGTGATAGCCCTGGCATGTGAAAACATAGCCAGAGCGAGTGCTAGACACTGTAATCTAACTCTCCGGGATGTAGCGAAGGCGTTTGACAAAGTCTGGCATGACGGCATAAAATATAAGATCCTCCAACTCGGACTTTCCGCCAACATTGAAAAACTGCTTTGCAACTTTCTTGACGGTAGAAATGCCAGACTGAGGGTAGGACAACATACAGGAGAGACCTTCCCACTCATGAGTGGAGTCCCTCAGGGCAGCGTCCTCTCTCCCACACTATATATCATCTACACAAGTGACACTCCGCCTCCCACTCGAATAGGTAACGAAGATATTATGTATGCAGATGTCATCACTCAAATAACACATCAAGGAAAATCGCGAGCGTTACAGGTCGACAGCACCAGGCGGGAATTAGAAAGAGTAAATAATTACGGAAAGCAATGAAAAATCCAAAACAGTCTCCCGAAATTCAGTGATACCCTTATGCAGAAGGAAAACCCATCCATTAGTAACCAATAATGCCCAGATAGAATATAAAAGCAGAGACACCCTCCTGGGCCTACATATATCCACGACAGGTTACTCCCATCATGTCCACACCAGGAAGGAAAAGGCAAGAAGAGAGCCAAGAAAACTATACTGCCTTAAAGCGCTTCCTGAGAAAAGAAAACTCCACCTGGTGACATCACTTATCATAACTCTTCATACTATGAGCACCACTCAAATATTAAAATTACAGGTGGTCCAAAATGAAGCCCTAAGATTCGTCACAGGTGAAAGATACCCCTTCACCAGAACCACAGCCGAGATACATAGAGACCTGAGAATAAGACCCATTAACCAGCAGCTGCACACCCTGGCCAGCAGTCTGGCAAAAGATAGAACATCAGAGCAAGAACTCCTTCAAAGACTCCTACCAGAAAACGACAACCACCATACATGGTTCCCAAAAAGTTACCAAATCTCAGAAGGTCCATTACCACTCCCGATCTACACGGCCAGGCAATAGACAACCTCCCAAGACCAGCATCCGCCAGTAGGGTCGGCGGAATATGAAATAAGGCCTCCAAACACCCATATATGGGACAGGGTAGGATGTCTAGTGCCTGTACCGACAGACAATAACTAACCCATGACACAACCCTAACACACTATTAGCTTAGCTAGGGGGTCAGCCCTCCCTCTCTTACTTCCTCTTAAATTTCTTCAATTTCCGAACTATAATTTCCTTTCCCCACTTCTTATCTTCTTTCACCGTTCCTTTATTAAAAAAAACGAGCGAGACATACAGGCGTTTACACACATTCCCCTCTCCCCCAATCACAACACCCCTCTGATGTTCATAAACCAGTACTTCTGCCTTAACTCCATTCCACATCCTGACACTCCTTAAATAAAAGTAATGAAGGTTAGGTTAGGTTATAGATTAGGTTAGGTTAGGCTAGTTTAGGTTCAGGGAAGGTTACGTTAGGTTAGATCAGTGAGGTTTAAAACTCAGGTGAAATAAACTGCACTGTCTAATCTTCAGGACTAGCCCATTAGTGAAGATTTTCACAAACATCGGAAACTTTATAAACACTGTGTCCTTTAAGAAACATCTAGAATGGTTTAGTTCCTATGACGTCACTATTTTTGTATGATTTTTTTTCTTATTCTATTAACACGGAAGACATTTGACAAAGTGAGTACTAGCCAGAGAGACAGACAGAAAGAAAACAAAATCACTCACCTTCTTCTTGAACGGCAGTCGCACCATTGTCGATTTGTACTCCTCCTGTTATCAAGTACTAAGTAAGCCTTCTTTCTCTCTAGGGAGGCCACTTCCTCCCGCTGGCCGCCACCAAAGTCTCCTCACACCGTCAGCTTAAGAAATGTTGGTCATAGCTCCTCATAACGACAGAACTTCCAGGGCTGCTTCAGTACATTCTCTTAGGTTATCTGAGGAAACTACCATGCCTTCAGTCCATGGTGGTGTCGTGGTCACAATAGCACGGCTATTATGCTCAACACTTAATTATTCATATTATGCTCCACCGTCCACAAAACATGTGTAAAACTATACCCCTAGAGTCGTTCCCTAGCGACAGGTGCCATCCATTTCCTCTTAAACATCCTGAAATCTCTCTTACAAAGGGAATTTGAATTTAAGAGATACTGTGTATGAGTAGCCATAAGTCAGATATACCTACAGTGAGATAAAGCATTCAAGGTGTATTGAGTATATGTTGAAAGCATCGTATATATTTATGTGATGAGTACATAGTGTTAAGAAGTTGTGTTTTGAGGACCCAGTCGCCAGCTGTACTCAGTCCGTTTCTCGTGAACTTACAGGATAATTCAAAACTGAAGTCCTATCTTTTGGATCTGTGAATCTCAGAGAATCCGACGAGAGTATTGAAATTGGTGTCAGTTTTGTATTGTGAAAAGTAATTAGTCTCCTGAAATGAAAACGGTCTATTGCTTATCGCCGAGATCTAATGGAAAAATCTCATTACCTCCATGTCTGAAGCTCCGCCCCCAATGTACTGCTAAGTACTCAGTACTTGACATCAGTTTAATTCTTGCCTTTGAAAGCTCAGACACCGATTAGTTTAAAAAGTTAATCTCAGAAAATTAATATAATCTCATAGCCTGATTTTCATATGTCAATGTGTACAGTAAAGGAGTCTGATGAATATATCTGTTTAAGTTCTGACTTAGCAACTCAAGGGTTGTGAGAAGCTGGGAGGAACTCACTCTGACCTGATTCTCAAGCCCGCTCTTGTGTAACAGTTATGTCCAGTACTCCGTGCCCCACCTCGTCATATTAAGTGAGTTTGACTTAGTTGTGCTGTGTTTGAATATGCAAGTGATCCAGTAACGTAACTTTGATGTCTTTAGTAAAGTGTTCATGCACCATCAGCTTACAAGACATATTTTATGACGCTCATGTCAACTCTGTCCTGATTCTCAAGCCCGCTCCTCTGTAACAGGTGCCTGATAAACTGCGGGTGGTCGCTGTATGCCAAGACAACGTCCAACACCATTATGGAGATGGATGAAGGCCATTAAGATCTGATAGCATCGTGTAACACGGTGGTGTGGGGAGCTGAAATCTTACGTACAGCCAGCCGCACAGAGGAGGTGGCCAGTATGTGTTTGTTGTCTACGTGTTGATATCTCACATGTGGAGTAAATATGACCAGCTCATAAGCATTATTATGAGTCTACAACGATAAGTAGAGTTACTTATTGGGTGTTATTCATCGGAGTATCCATGTAGGTAATCTCAGTTGTATGGATGTCTGTAGTGAACAAGTGTATGAGGGTCGCCACTTAACTTGTTGGTGAACGTAACAAAGTAAAGCAAGGAGGCTATTCCTTTTGGTGCTATTGAAGTATTAGTGTGGTGCTATTACTAAGAGTTCTGTTAGTAAGTAAGAGCTAAATTCTCAAGTTACCTGTAAGGGTTGTGCTCAAGCATGTTAAATATAAGAGTATGATGTTGGGTCTCATTATTAAAGTAAACCAAGTAATGGTGGATGTTGAAAGGTATATCTCTGAGAAGTACAAAATGAGTGAAACCATGGAGATGGTCCTGGTAATGTTTGTGTTGTATGTTGGGGTTATCATTATCCCTGCAGTGTTTTGCCTTTGTTTCTCCCCATATCTTGGTACCAGTAATTACAGTAAGACCCCGTGTCCTAACCCTCGAGCCATTCTTCCACAGATAAGAGATTAGGGGGTAACTTAAGAAGGAAAATAACTAAGAAATAGCTAATATTAAACATAATTACAAAACCTTCCCTACAAATTGGTTAAAAGTAGTGGGATAAATTAAATAGAAAGGACATCCTCTATAATGGGAGTTATAAGGAGTTCCTGCACTAGAGATTCATATTGCATTGTCCTCGTGTCGGGTTCGTTCAGAGGGCCCATAGTGTGGTCTCTCTCCCATACGTGATCCATGCACTGTACCGCGCTCTGCTATACTACAAGACTATTCACGAGGGGTCACAGACAGCTCATGTTACCATAGATCAATTCTTTCTCATCTCGTAAAAATATAAAAAAGTTTACGAGAAAAAGGGTTCCCATAATACAATGTATAATGTACAACGGTTTCCCTCGCGAACGTCTTTCAGTTTTGTCTATCACCAAGGTCGAGAAATATTCGTTAATAAAATGAACCAATCTAACCCACCAGACTTAGCTTAGCCTAAGATATTCCAGTTATCCCGTCTGTGGAAGGAATCGTCCTCCCTCGACGACATCAAAGTTCGGCTGTGACGACCATAGATTTGTGTCCAGGAGAGAACTAATCCCTTAACTGTTACTACGAGAAACGTTTTACTCACACTGCACCTCTGACACGTGTATCTCAGTACCTTAAAAAACTCGTTGTTGAATTTCAAGGAAACGGCAAATGGCTGTTTAAACTTGTGTGATAAAGAATTTTTGCCAACAAATACTTGGAAGCCAAACTAAATCTGGCAAATTCTTTCGTTTCCTTCCTACTTGACAGCCTTGGACTGTAATGACACAGTGAACCTTACGGAGTATTAGCAGGATTTACTGCAGTATTTACACAACCCTCCATCAAACTTTCCCTGGGCTGTTCACCGAGTCTTGATATTGTTCAGTTCCCATTCAAGACTGATGCAACAAAGTGTAGCTTCTTTGCTCATGAAATGGCAGACACTCGGGCCGGTAATAAAGCAAGGATGAATTTTGAGGTCTGTTACGGCCTTGTCATACTTTGGATCAGCTTGACAGAGACAGTGGTTAACAACAGTGCTGCCAGTGTGTTTGTACGAACGATATCTAAATACCGTAACCATAAGGTATTTCAAATACTATTAACTTACAAAACTTGTTCCTGTATACCCACATATATTAGCTTTCATTTATATTAAGCATTACAGATTTGTATCCTCATTTCACACAAATAAATATATGTTGGGCTCAGAAAACGAAAAACGACCACAACGCTTTGTGGTAGTTTTCAAAATAACCCGAAAGCTAAATATTACGTCTCGGATTTTACCCTTACTTAACCTGACCCAATCCAAACTAGCCTAACCTATAGCAAAATCTCGCTTCTGGTTATTTCCCATTAATATGACCAGATTAATGCACCTTGTTACTGCATGAACCTTGTCTCAGATGTCAGTGCAGAAAATAATATATATTTGTATAACAGGAACTGATAATGAATTTAGTGCAAATTGACTTTAAAGTAATATTGTTTACGTTCACGAGATTAAAATATCATGCAGATGCGTGAGTTTCCTGGACAACACTAGACAACTTACATCAGTCGCCTCAACAGCTGACACTGCAGAAATAGGTCGCACTGAGCTTGGGACAGAGATAAAATACTAGTTCACCAAGCACGTGTTTTACCCACAATGCACAGCTCGGTGACGTCACTGTTGTAAACACACGTCATCTGGTGACCTCCATGTGTGCCCGAACCTGCTCCCGGGACCAGTGTCAACAATTATGTTTATTTGTGCAATATTCGGGTGCACCAACAATGCTCAAACCCCAAGCAGAGAACAGCAAGTATTACAGATATCCTAGAGATAAGAAGAATTGTGATAATTGGATAAATGCCTGTAAGTGTTTTTATAAACACACTAGGCCAGCCGAGAACTTGTTTGCAGAGAATTCATATGTATTTTGTATCTCCTTATTTTGGTAATGTCTATCGATATCCAGGTATCTACAAGACGGTATGACATTCATCTTGCTATATGTAGCCAAAAAGAACTCTGAACAGTATCAATGTCCCCACAATAATGATGCTAGTGTCATTCCCTTAGATGTGGTAGATCGTATGTGTTACACCCCCTTTACCCATGGTGTCGACACAATACTCCCTCATATCGACCCTGATGTCTTTCTACAAAACTCACTGGGTTACACCAACCCAAACTGTAACTATTACTTTCCTGACTCCCCCGAGTTTAGTTCTAGTCTCCTACTACCTCATTCCTTCTCCTCGATTAGCCATAACATCAGCAGTATTCCCCTTCATCTAGACACCTTTTTAGATCAGTGTTTATCTTCTATTGCCCACAAATTTGATGTACATGGGTTCTGTGAGACCAAACTCACTAACGATATTGACCATTTGTATAACATTCCTAATTATAATAGACACTGCGTCAACACGTCACGACACAGTGGTGGTGTCGTCCTATATGTTGATATCAAGTATAACACTTCTGTAAGAGATGATTTAAAGGTTCAGGAGGAGTACATGGAGAGTGTTTTCACTGAATTACGTAACGACACATGAAATATCCTAGTAGGAGTAATCTACAGAAGAGCCCACACTAATGTAATGAATTTTCTTGATAAAATTTCGGAGCTTATCTCTATCATAAGTTCAGAGAGGAAAGACTGCTACATCACAGGAGATTTCAGCCTTGATCTATTAAAATCAGAAACCGACACCTCAGTATTAGACCTTCTTGCTACCTGTCATTCTAAGCTGCTCTTCAGCACTATAACCAAACCCACCCAGTGGTGTCAAACTCAAAACCTTTCGAGGGCCAATTCTTATTTTAGTTGCCCTCTCCAGGGCCAACACAAGTGCTATATCACATATTTGCAGGATTGAAGTTAACAGCTTCACACATTGCCATACCTGGCTTACCAGGAATACCTCATTTGGGTTTGTCTGACCTTAAGTATGTAAAATTCATTTTACTAAATAAACGTGATTTTATCTATTTATATCATAATTTAACAGGATGATAATTTTTACCGTAATCCCGCGGGCCACACCTGACCATCTCAAAGGCCACATTTGGCCAGCGGGCCATGAGTTTAACACCCCTGCGTGACTCGAGTTACTGCCACCTCTGCTACTGTGGTAGATCATATCTGGACTAACAACACTCCTAACAATCTAACAAGTGGAATTATTTATAAAAATATCTCGGATCACTTCCCAGTTTTTGAACAGCCACAAGACCTGAAAGGTCTAGTAGAGTCTCAGTACAATACAGAGACTACTGCACCGACAACATGCTCCTTTTTGAAAACAAATTAATGAATGCTAACTGGGATCTTGTCTATGCCTCCAACAACCCTAACGTGAACAGCTGTAACTTCTCTTGCACCTTCAATGCTTGCTTTGATAAATGCTTCCCGCTCAAGACTAAGTCAGTGAAAACTGCATCCGTTTCCAAACCCTATATCACAAGCGAAATTAAGATAATGATAAAAGAAAAACACAAACTCCAAAGTAAATTTGCAAGAAGACCCATAACTTTCGGTGATGCTTACCGAAGTGTCAGAAATAGAGTAACTCCAGCAGTTAGAAATGCCAGACGGAACTATTATACAAATAAGCTCCAGTCAGCGTCAGGCAACACCAAGAAAACCTGGAGTATCATCAATTCTATTCAGTACAGTATAAGTCAACCCACGGCCCCCCACTCAGCTGTTATGATAAGGATACAGTTGTAACGGAACTCTCCCTCATTACCAACCACTTCAATGATTATTTTATCAATGTTGGCAAAAAATCTTGCAGAGAGCGTCCATGATCACCTTGAGGAATTTAAAGCCTACCTGCAAAATAGACAGCAAAATGAGCTGTTCTTATCCCTTGTCACAGCAAATGAATTCCTGGCCATCATAAAAATGCCCAAAGAAGCAGCAGCAGGCGAAGACAATATACCAATGAGCATCATTAAGAAAGTAGCCCACTTATTACGACCTGTTCTCCTCCACATTTGTAACTCCTCCTTCACTAGTGGTGTCTTTCCTGATAAACTGAAAATTGCTTAAGTCCACCTGGCATATAAAAAAATCTGGGGACAAAGGTCTCTTCAAGAACTACCGCCCCATATCAGTCCTCCCAGCCTTGAGTCAGATACTGGAGAAGCTAGCATGTAATAGAAAAATTCCTTCTGCAATGCCAATAACATCTTTACAGACTCCCAGTTTGGATTTAGAGCTAGAAGGTCGACTGAGAGTGCTCTGCTATCCTTTACTAATGACATCTTAAATTCCTTTGATGACAGTCAGTTCACAGTCGGTATATTCTTGGACCTCTCTAAAGCCTTCGATACTGTCGACCATACCATTCTCCTTTCAAAGCTTGAACATTACGGCATTAGGGGTCTGTCCCATAAATGGTTTACCTCATATCTGTCCAACAGGAAGCAGTATGTCTGCTATAATCACCAATCTGACTCTTCGCTAATCTTGGATGGCGTCCCCCAAGGTTCCATTCTCGGTCCAGTACTGTTTTTGTTGTACATAAATGACATAGTCCACGCCAACACACTCATAAAATACAACTTATTTGCAGACGATAGTAATCTCTATGCCAGCAACTCAGTCCACCATTCCTTGAGGAGAACTATGAACACTGAATTGACGAAAGTCAGGACCTGGGTAATACGCAATAACTGACCTTAAACCTTGAGAAAACTCCCTACACGATCTTTCACAGAAGGATAAACTTGACTCCAGACTTGGACCCCCTGTACCTTGGTAATACAGTCCTTAAACACGAACAAAATACTAAATTCCTCGGAGTTATTGTTGATGAGAAACTTAACTGGAGAAACCACATACAAGCCATTCACAGTAAAGTCAATAAACAATGCGGTATCGGTATCGCGCTGTTTACCAACACCTCATACACTATCACACACTATGGGGGGCCTCTGGCTCTTCAAAAACACAATCCCTGGTTACTGCACAAAAGAGTGTGGTACGGACAATGACCTACTTGAAAAAAACAGAGGAGACAAACGAAAAATTTGCTAAATTGAAAATGTTAAAATCCGAAGATATTAATACCTACTGCTGTGCCCTCTTTGTTTACAAATATATCAATCACTTGCTTGAGAACAATTATTTCCAGTTCTTGAGTAATCAGAGATATAACTTAAGGCACCCAGAGCTCCTCTCAGTCTCAGACCTCCATAAAATATCACGGTGTGAAGATATGAAACAACTTACCCCCACCTATCTGAGCAAAGACTACGCTCCCTTCCTTTAAATCATCTCTTATAAAATATCTATTGTCTAAGTATTAATATTTCTTGTAACACTTACTATATTTACAGTACCGGCTTTTATTGTTCCATCAAAACCGTTTTATCGGAAATTATCATGTAAGTAGATAAGTAATTACCATTGCAATAAACGTAATTGCCAACTAGACATAATCCTGACAGCTCTGTCCTCTTGTTCAACCTTAATACTGTACAACCCAGGTTGTACTGCTCCCCCATTATACTTATGTTTTCAATTCCACTGTAATTTATGTGTATATAAATATGAAATAAATATAAAATAAATATATAAATAAAATAAATAAATATTGAAGTGATAACCGTGGTAACATTTTCAGATGTTCCTATTACCACCAGGCTATTGTACTATTCCAGATATTACTAATGTTACATAATACTTCCTTGAGATAAATGTATAGTATATATCAGGTGCCTACAGGAGAGCTCAGGTTCTCAACTGGTTCAGCCATTTTGATGTTAATATTGTTATTATTATCCACTCTGTAACTGTATTTTTCTGGCTAAATAAACTGCTTCATTTCAATTCAAATGTCAACAGCGAAATGACCGGCAACCCCCCTTGTCTCCTTGTAATATATTGCTCTTTTTTTATATCACTTATTTTGGGAAGACTGTGGCCACAGAAGAGCTTTAGCCTTACTAATACAGTATTTAAAAAAATTAAACAATCAAACGTCAGCCAAGACAAGGCCGTCACCATCTGTGATGACCCCCAAGTCACCTGATGACGTGCGTCTCTAACGTGACGTCATTGAATGGGGCGGAGGTAAAGTTTATGACGTCACAGCGGTCTGTCCTTACTGTCAAGTCCTTGGAAGCCTTTACTGCAAGGTCTATAAATCTTGCCTTACTGTACACAACTCACGGTACACGTTCACGGCCCCAGTGTGTGGCTCAAGTCCTTGGAAGCCTTTACTGCAAGGTCTATAAACCTTGCCTTCTGTACACAACTCACGGTACACGTTCACGGCCCCAGTGTGTGGCTCACACTGTTGTCCGACCTCACTAGTGGCTCACTTCCACACAAGAAGAACCACAGTTATCAATGTGGTCACTTCCACTCAAGGTTCTGTACAATTCTCAAACTCCAAACTCCTTGAATGAAACTCCGAGCTGTTGGTTTACCAAAAGATATTCACTGTAAGAACACCATTAACTTTCGATACAGTTTTGAAATGGTATGTGAAGGACGTTACATTTGTGGAAGTTAAAACGTTATTATTGCGCTTCATCAAATTATGTCTTTAAGAGCATAACAACTTTAGTAATCACACCAATACAACAACAATTATACTTTACAAACGATAGAACCGCAGGTGTGTGTGTGTGTGTGTGTACAAGCCTCCGACAGGACCAACACACCCTCAACCCACCATAACATAGATACGACATTTTGGAAACTATCATCTCGCCCATAATCATCTTTATCGGCAAACAGTCGCTGGCGTTATGTAGTACTCGGTGACCGATAACATTGTTTACGCAACACTGGTAGGCGTCGGACTGAGAACGTCGGAGTGAGGGAGTCAAGTTTTCTGTCTTTTCTAACTGAACCCTAGTTGTTTTGATGACCTCTATAAGCGTCGTCACACATTTTAATTCACTCTATCGTTTATCACACAACGTAGCTAATATTTCCTGCTCTTATACTATTCACTGATACATTGCTGTAACTGACGTATAACAAAGGGTTAAGTATTACGGCGGTGGAGAGAGACGGGTCGTTACACGCGCCACTGATCAAGCCAGCTGTTGACTGAATCCCACGAGAACACGCCCAGAACGTCACCTGCTGATAAGCCTTATCACTTATCTCAACATTTGATGATTAAGGTACGAGTGTAACCCCTGCTTGTCTCCTGCACTGCACCACCCACCAGCTATGACGAATATTAACAGTACCTTTATTACCTCAGGGGCGGATCCATGGGGGTCCTGGGGTGCGAAAACCCCCTTTTCATCATAAAATTTCAATACTTTTTCTTTAATGCAGTAATGTGCTCAGGCGTTTTTCGTATATTAAAAAGTAATTCCTATTGACCTCAGAATATATCCTAATATCAAGTGTATATGCCTTCAAAATTGCCCAGATATTGGCATCAGATTTCAAAAATTTTCTGAGGGGCCTACACTTACCCCCACCCCATAGCTTGGTGGACTCGCTGTGCTCGCCTTGTTCCACCACCCACAACTTCCTGGACCCCCCTTCTGATATTCCTGGCTGGATCCGCCCCTGGACCTGACAGTAGATAGGTTAGGTTGGGTTAGGTTAGGTTAGGTTAGGTCAGGTCAGGTCAGGCCGAGTAACAAGAATAGGAAACTGATCTTGGGCTGATGATGGTGTCCGTCCTGTCACCGGTTTCACCAAGCACTGTGATCTTCGTGGCCTGTACTGGTACAGGCTGCAGGTGTGTGGTTCATCTCTGGTACAGGCTGCAGGTGTGTGGATCATCTCCGGTACAGGCTACAGGTGTGTGGATCATCTCCGGTACAGGCTACACCCTCTAACATAACTTAGTCCAGAATATATTCCCTGCTAACATCTCCCACAGTTCCTTAGACATTGATGGAAAGTTTGAAACTCCAACCATGACAAGGCCAAGAAACATTCTTATTAACAAGGTTGACCAGACATTTACCTCGAGAACACCTTCACACACATTCTACCGACCCGAGATGTTCTCTTATAACACAAACCTTAACTGCATCCTACCTGCCAGGAATATGTCAACACCAGCAGCTTGGTGTAGTAGCACACACTCTCTCCTGGGTGGGGTGGGGTGGGGTGGGGTGCGGTGGGGTGGCTAAGTTTATTTTCCTGAGGGCTTCCGTCATTTTGAACAAGCGGCACCACTGTACAATCAGCTGGCGGCAGCAAGAATTCGTTCTATCTTGGCCGTGCTGGTTAGGTTATGTTAGGTTAGGTTAGGTTATTATTTGTTTGTATTGGTATCGATTACGTTAGGATATGCAATATTAAGCCAAGAATGAATGATCGTCTCTAATTCTCTCTTTCTTACGGAGTGTACAGTGGTGCCGCGCTTCAAACACTGCGACAGAGCCACTTGTTGAAAATGACGGAAGCCCTCAGGAAAAAAAAATCACGCGGCCGGGTCGGGGGTAAACTCCACAAGAGGTTCATCAGTCTTGGTCCTCGCACAGACGACGCCTCAACACCTGGTGATGGTGGCGTAGTTGTAACACTCCCACGCGTTCCTACAAAAACGGCATATGGTAACACTATACTGTACAATACGTGTAACTGTAAGTTTGTAGCCCACGTGCAAATATTGCCACAGAGTTAGGTTAATTCTTAAGATTTCTAATGAAAAATATTTATATCATTTCACACTAACAGTATGATACAAGCAAGTAATGTTATAAAGGTATAATTGTGGACGGGTTTCATCACCTGGTATCATCAGCTAAGGTTGGGTGTTCCTCGGGTGTCGGACGACAGGTGTTCAGTATTCAACATCTAGTAATATTAACCTCTCGGCAGACCTCACATGTTCATGGTATTAGACAACTGTGTTCCTCAACATAACTATGAATGGAGGAAACTGCAGCGGGCCGATTGACCCATACTGGGCAGTCCCGTTTACATCCAACCCCTATCGCTCATATATCCACCAACCTATGTTTGGAACTATCCAGCGTATTCGAGTTAATGATGATATTTGTTAACTTGTTCCACTGCTCAATTTCCAAACCAATGTTTACCTATCTCGCACCTAAATCTCAGTTTGTCTAATTTAAAATCATTGTTACGAGTTTGCTCCTGGTTGGATAGTTTGAGTACCTTTGTAATATCACATTTGTTTAGCCCTGACTTCCATTTATACACCTCGATCAGTCCTTATGAGGTAACTTCCACAAATACGAGCTCGGGTCCTTAAGACAGCGCAAGACTTACCACCTCTCGTAAATATCACATATTAAGCGGCTTCAGTATGTTATGTAATTCCCCTGAACCCCCTCCCTCCGTTTGCTTTCCTAACCTAACTTAACTTAACCCAACACAACCCAATCTAATGTCCTCAACATAATCTTAAAAAATAATGTCAGCAGAAATTCCTACAACAACTTTGACAGTTCCGTACAAAGACTTTCCCTTCATTGACAGCCAGTGAATTTTAGTTAGTCATTGCGATATGTTAAGTCATTCATAAGACAAAGATTTTTACCTGGGACACGGCCTCCACGACGACCTGGGACACGGCCTCCACGACGACCTGGGACACGGCCTCCACGACGACCTGGGACACGGCCTCCACGACGACCTGGGACACGGCCTCCACGACGACCTGGGACACGGCCTCCACGACGACCTGGGACACGGCCTCCATGATGACCTGAAGGTTGGTTGTGCCGCTACCCTAGACGCCAGAGCGAGGCGAGTGGACAAGAGGTCGTTCTAGTAGGTCTAACTTGCAGTCGTTTGTCTCCTCCTAGAGTTCTTGTCTGTGGTTTCACGACTAGGTCACCCTCAGGGTAAAAGGTGAGTTCCCTGGGTCAACCTCAGGGAAATGGGTGGGTGCCCTGGGTCACCCTCAGGGTACAGGGTGGGTCCCCTGGGTCACACTCAGGATAAAGGGTGGGTCCCCTGGGTCACCCTCAGGGTAAAGGGTGGGTCCCCTGGGTCACCCTCAGTAAAGGATAAAGTGGGTCCCCTGCGGTCACCCTCAGGATAAAGGGTGGGTCCCCTGGGTCGTCCTCAGGAAGCCAGGATAAAGGATGAGTCACCCAGGATAAAGGGTGGGTCCCCTGGGTCACCCCCAGGATAAAGGGTGGGTCCCCTGGGTCATCCCTAGGATAAAGGGTGGGTCCCCTGGGTCGTCCTCAGGGAGCCAGGATAAAGGATGAGTCACCCAGGATAAAGGGTGGGTCCCCTGGTTCATCGCCAGGATAAAAGGTGGGTCTCCGGGGATTACCCTCAGGATAAAGGGTGGGTCCCCTGGTTCACCTTCAGGATAAAGGGTGGGTCACCCTCAGGATAAACATTGGGTCCTGTAATGAGACAAAATCTCACATGAAGAGGCAAGTTAGGAGGTTATAGTAGTAGAATATTATAGCGAGAGGAAATGGTAGCGTGTCTCGAGGGTGTGATGTCAACACTGTATATTAACACAGGCTCAGTACAAGTGTAGTATATAAAACACCAATGCGTGTTACAGCTTTATTATACTAGTTCAATAGGGGGGATTAATGGGGGGGTTCGTACACAATTTATGATAGACTATGGTATTCTCGTATAACCTAACCTCACAATTAGAATGGGCACTTCACTAAGTCGATCGTTGGGGAGGTTCGGGATCACTGCACTTCTACAGTCTACACAGCCAGCACTTACTGTTACACGTTGAGTTGACAGCACTCTGTCGATGGACCCAGCTGAGACTTCGTTACACTTAGTGGCGGGCTTCTCTCGAGCGGGACTGGGGACGTGGTAGCTGGCTCTTCCTGGTCACAAGACACACTTTTTGAGGGAGGGCTCGGACGTCCTATATATTGGAAGACCAGCCGTCAGGTTGAGCTGATCGGGGGGGGCGGCGAAGGATCTCCTTACATTTGCCCTCGCTAATGTAGGGTCAGGTCTGGACTTTTTCAGAGACTATAAGTTGTATCTTCTGGGAAAGTCATCAGATGGGGCCGTGACATGAGAGGTGAGCCTGGCTGATTTGTAACCCTTGGTCAGCCGTGAGAGTTACCCTACACTTGACCTCCCTAATATCGGGTCAAGCCTGGACTTCTTCAGCGATGTAGGTTATTGTATATTGGGAGAGAGTCGGCTGGTGCCTTCTTACATGTTTGTTGTGGTGCCGTGTCACATGGGAGGGGAGCTTGGCTGATTTATAACCCTTGGTCAACCGTGAGAGTTACCCTACACTTGACCCCCCTAATGTCGGGTCAAGACTGGCCTTCCTCTGCGGTGTAGTATATTGTGTATATTGGGAGAGAGTCGGCTGGTGCCTTCTTACATGTTTGTTGGCCGTGTGACATGGGAAGGGGAGCTAGTTGATTTGTAACACCCTTGAGCACCCGCGGGGGATACCCTTACACTTGACCCCCCTAATGTCGGGTCAAGTCTGGCTTTCCGTGCGATGTAAGCTGTGGTCTGACAACCCATCACTACAATCCCCTGGGTCACCCTCAGCACAAAGGGTGGGTCCCCTGGTTCACCTTCAGGATAAAGGGTGGGTCCCCTGGGTCACCCCCAGGATAAAGGGCAGGTCCCCTGGGTCATCCTCAGGATAAAGGTTGGGTCCCCTGGGTCATCCTCAGGATAAAGGGTGGGTCCCCTGGGTCACCCTCAGGATAAAGGGTGGGTCCCCTGGGTCACCCTCAGGATAAAGGGTGAGTCCCCTGGGTCACCCTCAGGATAAAGGGTGGGTCCCTAGGTCACCCTCAGGATGAGGTGGGTCCTTGGGTCACCCTCAGGGTTGGAGTGGGTCCTGGTTCACCTTCAGGATAAAGGGTGGGTCCCCTGGGTCACCCCCAGGATAAAGGGCAGGTCCCCTGGGTCATCCTCAGGATAAAGGGTGGGTCCCCTGGGTCATCCTCAGGATAAAGGGTGGGTCCCCTGGGTCACCCTCAGGATAAAGGGTGGGTCCCCTGGGTCACCCTCAGGATAAAGGGTGAGTCCCCTGGGTCACCCTCAGGATAAAGGGTGGGTCCCCTGGGTCACCCTCAGGATAAAGGGTGGGTCCCTTGGGTCACCCCTCAGGGTTAAGGAGGTGGGTCCCTGGGGTGTCCT